GGGGGGGGGGGAGGGGGACAGCTCTCCGCTGCTGCACGTGCCCTCAGGGGAGGCGGTGGGGAATGTGTTCCCTGGATTTGTGTGTGGGGCAAGAGTGGCCTGCCCACTGTGGGCTCAGGGCCAGGGGCTGTACAAACCTCTTCCTGGTGGGGGAGGGGTGGGGGGCCACGGATGTGCTTGGGGTGGGCAGGAGCAGGGTGGGTGGCAGCAGCATTGGGGGGGCTATTTCCCATAGCCCCCCCTTCCACTGCCACCGCCACCCACCTCAAGTGCAGCCCTGGCTCAGTCTCCCTGCTGGGAAGAAGCTGGCACAGCCCGGATATGGACTGATATATCAGTGCACCTCTAATGTTCAGGAAAGTAAAGTTGCAATTTTGTTACTACAAAACCTAGGCCAGCACAGAGAATCAAGTAAGCAACCAAGGAGGAAAAACAAGGAGATCTCTTACAAGAAAGAAAATAACACTTGTTAAAAAATAACTTCCATAGTCAGAATGCCACTGGACTGCAGACATTTCTCCCTGCACAGAGAAACTTTAAAGAGCTAGAACTTGAAACTGCTACGTGTAACAGTTTAGAGCCCTGTGAATAAAAGGACAAGCCTAATGTTGCCAAGCTGCAGCAGCTCTTCATAAAAGAAAAATCTGGAAGCATTACTCTGCCTTTATTTCTTTTTTCCAGCTTTGAGGATTACGATAGGGGATGCTAGCTTCCTTGATAATTTAAATGAGCCAAGAGAAAACTAAAATACTAATACCGCTCTCTCCTCACTTTTTGATGCAGACTAACTTAAAAAATAATAAAATACATTTCCAGGGGTTTACCTGCAGAAAAGATAACGGTCTACACATTATGTCAGTCGCTATAATGCTCTTCCTTTCGCTTATGAAAGATAAATTTATAAGGCTACTGGACTCTCTTAAAAAGGCAAAAGAAATTTCTTTCCACACTTGATAGATTATTAACTATGATGATCAGCTCCAAATTACAGGCTTAGGGTCTTCAACACTGTAGTACAGGTACTGGAACTCACTTTAAATTAGCTCCCATGAACAGAAGTTTCCTGTAGTTTCCACTTCCATTTCAGGAAGGATTTTTTTCATGAAAATTGATAACCCCGTAAATCCCACCTTATTTTGTAGTGAGTTTTCATGTGCTCCTTAAGCTGTGAGGAAGTCTCAAATTCCTTCTTACAGGATTTGCAGCTATGGGTCCTGCTTCCAACCAATTCCTGACGATGTTCTTCCATATGTATAGATAGCTGGCTCTGCAAAGTAAATTCATCTCCACACTCTGAACAGATAAGATTCTGGAAAAGATAATACAGAAATTGATTTTCTCTGTATCACAGAACAATTTAAAACATTAAGGAAGGGTCTCAAACATAGAGCCTGTGGGCCAGGGAAGCTGGAGACTGAGCCAGGGGTGAGCATGGCCTATGACAGAATCCAAGGCCCTGGTGGACATGGTCACTAGCAACAGGGGAAGAAGGCAAGAGCTGTGTGATACAAACCTCAGACACCCTGCAGACACTGCCATTTACACACCTCTACCACAACAAGCAGCTGCCTAGCCTGCAGCCACCCACCCCATTGCTGCTACGGTGGCCATAGCCACCACTGACGCCCATTGCCCCATGCACAGAGCCCATCTGGCATGGGCTGCACACAGTGTGGAGCCAGTCTAGGGCAAACTCAATGTGGTGTCCACATTAGACCAGCCCTACATACTGAATTTGAGGCCAGTCTGGACTAAGGCTCCTGGCTGCAGGAACCACATGAAGGGTAGGGGGGAGGGTGGGCAGAAGCCAAGGAGCCCAGCAGCGCAGAAAGTCCCAGCTCCCAGCCAGCCCCATGGCGGGGGGGGGGGGGGGGATGGAGGCCATGGGGCTCAGGCTGGTCTTCTACCC